ACTACGGGCTCACCATAGCCCGTGCTACTTTGGAACTTTTGTTCTAAGTAGCTGAATCTAAAACAACAACAGCCAGTCGTCCACGGGAGACATCTCCCGTCAGGCAGGGTGCAGTCGCACCTCCACAGATCTCCACTATCAGCTCTTGATACTGGTAATGGCTCAAAAGGGCCACCACTTACGGGCTATTCATGCCCGTGCCACTTTTTGTGGCTTAATCTTCATCAATCAATCAGCCAGTCGTCCAATGAAACTCTTAGACTGGAGACGGGTTTGCCCTCTCTACAAGAAAGAATATCACAAAGGACAGCTACAATTATCAGTAAGATAATTATTTCTTCTGATCCAATCCCAGTACGGCAGGCCTTGGTGGTTGGACTAGGTCAAGACAATGGAAACTCTTGGGCTGCAAGAGCAGGAAAAGTCGTAAACAGACTACATTTAAAAAGCATGATTCTTGATAGAGAGGATGATCATCCACACCCAAATTACACTCCTTCCGCACCGTGGGAAGAGCCTACTTTCAAAATTGTAATAGAAAGTCTCCCAATGAAAAAGGCTGCCTATGATCCGACAATCCTAAGGCGCATAATAGAAGAGCAAATGTATAGCATAGCAGTAGCCACCCACATCTTCACAGACGGATCGGTGGACACAGAATATGAGTGCTGGCACTGCTCTTTGCACGACCAGCGTACAGGCATATTGGAGACTGGGAGGACTAGTATCATCAACCCAAACTGAGCTGTTTGCCATACAACAGGCATTCGCATATGTGACTGCACAAAACACTCAAAATGCAATCATACACACAGACTCAAAAGCTGCACTTCAAATACTAGGACAAAAACAGTGGAAAGATAACGTGGAAATAATTGCCATTATTTTGTATCTTGGAGTAGTCGCTAAGGCAAAGGACTCAACGTAACCTTAAACTGGATCCCATCCCATATTGGAATCCCATTAAATGAAAAAAGCTGATGAAATTGCTAAATTGGCAACTGGTCATCCAGTGATACATAAAACAATTCAACCCAGCCTAGAGAACATAAAAAACATCACCAAAAAAACTCTCGCACCTCAACAAAGCCTACCTACACCAGAGAATAGCTGAAGGTTCGCCATTTGCAACATGGTATCTTCAGGCAACCAAATTAGAAAGGTTAAATATCCCAAAAGGAATCCACAGGGAAATAGCAGTTAGGTTATATAGACTACGTCTAGGTTACAGATGCAACTGGGAGATTGGTGAACCCCGACAGAGAGTGCATCTTCTGCCAAACTGTCACAGAAAAGCCATTACTTCACTATCTTTTGGAATGTGAAGCAACCAATGACCTTAGAAGAGCTTTAAGAGTTCCTGAATCATGCAGTGGCCACCCTGAAGCCATCAACACAGCCACTCTCCTGGTCAACAAAGGTGTCCAGCAGCTGGACACCCTCATAAAGACTGTGAAGCAGTATCCTCCCCCGCGATAACAGCTTGATGGTTAAATGCAACCTCAGAATACTGAGAAAAAAAATGTACCACTTACGGGCTATTCATGCCCGTGCCACCTCTTGGGTGGCTTAATCTTCATCAATCAGTCGTCCACACGGGAGACATCTCCCGTCACGCAGGGTGCAGTCGCACCTCCACAGATCTCCAGTATCAGCTCTTGATACTGGTAATGGCTCAAAAGGGCTACCACTTACGGGCTCTTCATGCCCGTGCCACCTTTTGGGTGGCTTAATCTTCACCAACCAATCAATCAGCCAGTCGCCCCCCCCCCCCCACACACACACAGTATCACTCCCGTGCCAGGCAAGTCCAATACGGGCTCACCATAGCCCGTGCTACATACCCCGCTCCTGTGCCAGGTAAGTTAAGGGCTCACCATAGCCCGTGCTACTTGGAACTTCCGAGTAGCTGAATCTATAACAACAACAACAGCCAGTCCGTCAGCACCGCTCCTGTGCCAGGTAAGTCGCTACGGGCTCACCATAGCCCATTCTACTTTGAATTTTTCTTCCGAGTAGCTGAAGCTAAAACAACAACAGCCAGTCCTCAGAATATGCTTCGTGCTCTCAGCAGTAACATCTACTGTAGCCTTCTAGGAAACCGTAGATGCGTACTGCTTATTGTATATTATATTTTGCACCTTTATTTGGTTTTAACGTAACTGTCATCTGTTTATATTGCATTGTGTTCTTGCCAAGTAAAAAATGGGAATTGTTTTATTTGTTGTTAAATATTTACTATAACAAAAATGAGTTTTTTCATTCTTTTGGAATTTATCCCGCAGCTCACACCGTAAAGAGGTCAGAATTAATTAAGCAGTTTTATTTACTTTGTTTTATTTGTTGTATTTAATGTGATTGACATTTCACCAACCAGAATAGCCACTGCTCTATTTTTTCACCTTTACGTCACAATATATGCATGTTTAATATTATCAACCATTTACTTGTTATCCGTGTGTGTGGGTGTGGTAGGGACCCCTGCAGCACACTGGGTTGCCCAGTGACCTATAATGCTGTCAAGACGGCTCTTGAATGTAATGCCAAATGAATAATAATGTGCTTAACACCGTGTCAGCACAATTGTCAAAAGGCACCAGGCCAAGAAAAAAAAATTTAGTTCATTTATTATACACCCCATAGTGTATAATATATGAACTAAACGGTAGTGGAAAGGGTTACACAGGCACATTCTGAGCTCAGGGACTGAACTCCAAAATTCGCTGAATGCAGGACAAGAGGACACAGGTGGAAGCTAGAAACTAAAAGGGTAAAAGATGCAAAGAAATGGTCGATAATATTAAACATGCATATATTGTGGTCAAAAAGTGGAACACGCTGAAAAAAAAACCTTGTGGAAGACACGCCTCCATTCACAACTTCAAGGCCAGATTCGACAAGCAATTCTAATGTCAGAATATTTAAATTATAACGCAACAGATACAACAAGGCTAATGGGCGGGGCATGATGAGCTAGACCTCACTCTACCCCATAGACTTTAGCGAGCAATTCACTCTGAAATACTATTCAAGTCACCTGTCCTACAATGAACGACGCTTTTCGCTCGTATGCGTTACATGCGGCCAAAAATTGTCGTACTAGAAAATGGAAGCGGCTGGCGAAAGTGACGTACTGTCCCGTTTTCTGTTTTGGGTCCTCTGGTAAGTTAGGGGAGGGCACTTTACATTGACCGTTTTTTGACGTAGGGAAACCTTAGGACGGACTGACTGATTGATAACCTTGTCCTGCTTTTAATCTAGGTCAGATTTCCGACTACTAATTTACTTTTGGTTGTAAAATTCCATACCTTGTACACATCAACAGTAGCTATAAATACTATAATTTTTGGATTATAATGTAGGTTGAAATGTTGATAAATGTCAAAATTTTTTATTCAAAATTGTTTTGGATATTGTGAATAATTGGGCCCCGGTAGTACAGTTGGGTTCGTTCTCTACTCGTAATCAGGAATTCCGGGTTCGCATCCCAATAAATACGTACTCAAGAGCCATCTTGCATTAATGCAGGCCATCCTCCTGTTTTGGTAGTACTTATAGTAACGATATAACGGTATATCGTTACTATATAACGATTTAACGTTTAGGGTCCCTGTGCCTTCTTTTTATCAACTTCGAGGGCAGTTCGTGGTTATCTTTTGAGATGATTTCGGAGCTTTAGTGTTCCCGCGGCCCGGTCGTCGACCAGGCCTCCACCCCCAGGAAGCAGCCCGTGACAGCTAACACCCAGGTACCTATTTTACTGCTAGGTAACAGGGGCATAGGGTGAAAGAAACTCTGCCCATTGTTTCTCGCCGGCGCCTGGGATCGAACCCGGGACCACAGGATCACAAGTTCAGCGTGCTACCCGCTCGGCTCCCCTTTTTCCTCCTCACTTTGGTTGCTTTCAACCTCGTTCTGACAGTTCCTGCGACGGCGCTGGAATCAATCGTATTGGCGTTTGCCTTTCCATTGGAGACTTTGTGCCGTGGAGAGGGGGACCTGCTGCATGGGTAACAGCTTCTCCCCCATATCAACCTACCCTGGTTGTGCCCTGGAGAGGCCACTCCAGACCGACAACCAGAGCGTAACTCCATAGTCTCCTGTGACTGGTGGATGCCTACTATAGTAATGAGGATGATAGTATTATACAGACGTACAACAAAATTAGAGAAATCGGCACTACTGTATTGAGTTGGTCAAACCGGGAAAACTATTTTCTACTTACGTTGCAAAGAAACTAAACTAACCTTCCTAAGCCTAATGCACGATATTTGAGGCCTAATAAAGTACACATTTGTACTATATTAGACCTAGGAATATTTAAGCTTTTTTTTTGCTTCATTTTTTCAGACTTATAAAGTGAATAGTACAAAGTTCTATCTAACTGCTTAGAACGGCAATCATTGTATTACGCAGGGTGCATAGTTACAAAAACTAGTATCTGAACAGGAGAAAGGGTTGATTACTGACAGTACTGTTGCTCATGCAAAACTGTCTTTGCAAATTGAACGCTTTTGTTCAAGGGTAAAAAAGCATTATTGAACCGAGACGCTTCGTGGGGTTTTGTACCTTAAAGCATTCCAATGCACGGTACACGGCACGTTCGGGACGTTAAAAAGAATTTGTTCAGTGTCAGTAGTTAAATGGAATGCATTAGGCAGTGATGTGGAGGCTGACTCCATACACACCTTCAAATGTTGATATGATAGAGCCCAGTAGGCTCAGGCACCTGTACACCAGTTGATTGACAGTTGAGAGGCGGGACCAAAGGTCAACTCCTGCAAGCACAACTAGGTGAGTACATGTATCCATGGGTGTAAGAGCCGCCTGGGAAATCACTATTGTATTTAAAGTGTGGGGGAAAGAGGGCACAATTTCAAGGCACCGCTCCTATGCCAGGCAAGTCCACTACGGGATCACCATAGCCCGTGCTACTTGGAACTTGTTCCCAGTAGGTGAATCTAAGACAACAACAAGGGTAGAGGTTAGGGGGCACTCACCGAGGGCGGCAGCTTGGGTGTAGAGGTGCACAGCGTGGTGTAGGTGGTGGTCCTTGACGTGGGTGTTGGCGAGGGCCCTCAGCCTCACGCCCTCCACCTCCCCCGTCCACCACCTGGCCACCAGCCTCGACACCAACACACTCACACTCGCACCAACACACTCCTTCACCCTCCACTGACACACTCGACACGTCCTGGGCGCCTCCTTCAGCAGGCACCTCTTGCAGTAGGTGTGGCCGCACAGGATGGTAATGGGGTCGTGCAGCACGCCCCAGCAGCACGGGCACGAGAAGCTGTTCCTACACCCGGACCAGCCGTTCTCCCGCCAGTCCTGCCGCAGGTACTCCACTATCTTGGCCACCACAGGGCTCAGCATCTCCGTGCTCACAGGGTACAGCTTGCACACGTGGTACAGCACCTCCAGGCTGTCCACCACTTGTCCCGCCTCCGCCAAGTAACTCGCGTAAGACAAATGCACATCTTCCTTGGGACCATTTTCCTTTAATACTCTCTCGTACATCTCCCTGGAAAAAATCCGCCCCAGGGCCGGGCTCTCGGTCGAGTCAAAACATGCACTCATATCCTGAGCGGTCTATACAGCGTATCTCAAGAGATGTGGCGGAGCCAGCCCGGCATCTCCTACCTCCGCCGCCTCTAGTGTCATACTGACAGTCGTCATCTCGTTTTCGTAACTCACGTGCGGCGTTCTGGCCGCTCATTGGCCACCGCGCTAGCCTCCACCCACCCGTCCGTGCCAACCCGCCATATTTAAATTCCTGGTTGAGTCTTGACCATGTATATATGTTCAGTATTGCGCAGGTATTATCACAGTTCAGATAACAAAGTGTTTTTGTATATACATTTCATAATATGTTCAGTACAGTGTTTGATACTGAACTTACCTAAGAAATTGTGCTTGAGGTTGATTGAGATTTAGCATTCTGTTCCAATCTTCCAACTTTCAATCAACTGGTGTACACTGGATTCCAAACCTATAATTGGGCTTCATATCTGCATTTTAAATTATCTATAAGATCTGCTTTCACTATTTCGTTTCTTATAGGTATATGCCATTTCGTCACTTTTCTGTTACGGAATAAATTTTATAATTGATCATTTGGATACTCAAATTTCCTCTCCAAGTTACCTGTTTACTACTGGGTGAACAGAGGTAACAGGTGAAAAGATCTCTGCCCATTTGTTTCTGCGTCGAAATCGACCTCGGCCGGGAATCGACCTTGGGTCCGTGGACTACGGATCCCGATCCTTCTTTTCGGAAGCTATAGAACATGTCTGTGTCTGTCTGTCTCTGTAAAATATATATATATATATATATATATATATATATATATATATATATATATATATATATATATAATATATATATATTTATATATATATATATATATATATATATATATATATATATATATATATAACTGAAATTTCAGTTTCATACCATTCAGGCTTGTTCGCATATATATATATATATATATATATATATATATATGCATCCTCGGTTCCGGTCCTTAAGCGGAGGAGCTTCAAGAGATCCATAACCTTTATTAAGCACTCTTTGTATCAACCAATGTATATCTTGTAACCTTTAAACATATAATATAATTATATTTCTTTATTGTGCACCCCATACCTATCCTGTGGGCGGTGGGAACCGAATATGTGCCATAGAGAGATATTATTCTGTTGAAGGGTATTATACGGGTAATTTAGGTAGGTTATTAGTGGACAAAGTTAGAATGAAGCTTAAACTAATCATTATATATGTCATCTATAAATAATACGCCACATAATTTATGTTATATATATGACAAGATTTGCTTATATAAGTGTGTTGTGGCTGGAGGGGTGGAGTGAGGCCTGGTGCGAGGCTAGGTGACGTCACAGCTCGCCAAACACGTGAGAGTCAGACACGTGCCGAGCAGTCTCTCCCCTCACCCCCTCCCCTCCTCAGCCCGGATAATACTTTCCCAGTAACTCATAAAAATCACTGTATTACTAATTGCGAGGCGAACCCCACAACAATCCTCGACACAGGGGAATGTATGAGGCGATCAATGGCAGGAAGCTGGTGTGGGGAATGCGAAAATGCAGAGGTAATTTTGGCATGATCGGAAGTGTTACTCGGGGCAGCGCGTTACATGACTAGTCAAGCCAAGGGCTATGGTCCACTTATTTTGCTTTTTATATTTGGATATTGTGCAGGTCTTTCTCTGCTTTACCTGTGTTTTCGTACCGAGATGTTTTCTTCGCTGGTGACTGCATGATCAGCCATACTATTAGTGAGAGATCGCCATTGTTTTTGTATTGGCTATTGGTACACCACGTAATATATTAGCCAGTTTACGCACGGTTTATTATCTGTGCTTGACTAACACTGACTACGGAAGGTCTAGTTCAACCCCCCTCCCATCCTTGTGGGTTGAGCTTTAGCTCTTTGGTCCCGGCTCTCAATCAACTGATGTGCAGATTCCTGAGCCTACTGGGCTCTATCATATCTACATTTTAAACTGTGTATGGAGTCAGCCTCCACCACATCACTTCCTAGTGCATTCCATTTATTAACTACTCTGACACTGAAAAAATTCTTTCTAACGTCTCTGTGGCTCATCCGGGTACTAAGTTTCCGCCTATATCCCCTTGTTCGTGTTCCACCTGTGCTGAAGAGTTTGTCTTTGTCCACCCTGTCAATTTCCCTGAGAATTTTGTACGTGGTTATCATGTCTCCCCTTGCTCTTCTGTTTTTCAGGGATGTGAGGTTCAGCTCCTTTAGCCTTTCCTCGTAGCTCAATCCTCTCAGTTCCGGGACGAGCCTGGTGGCATACCGCTGAATCTTCTCTAACTTTGTCTTGTGTTTAACTAGGTATGGACTAGCTATGCATGGAGTCAGCTGTGTATGGAGTCAGCCTCCACCACATCACTGCCTAATGCATTCCACCTGTTAACTACTCTGACACTGACAAAATTCTTTCTACTGTCTCTGTGGCTCATTTGGGTACTAAGTTTCCGCCTATATCCCCTTGTTCGTGTTCCACCCATGCTAAATAGTTTGTTTTTTTCCACCTTGTCAATTCTTCTAAGAATTTTGTAGGTGGTGATCATGTCTCCCCTTATAATCTTCTCTCTTCCAGGGACGGGAGGTTTATCGACTCCCGTAGCCTTTCCTCCTAGCTCATACCTCTCGATTCTGGGACTAGTGGCAACACCTCTGAATCAATACCTCTGTAACTTTGTCTAGTGTTTAACTAGGCCTGGACTCCAGGATTGATCTGACATAAGTGGTATACAAGGTTTTGATTGATTCTTTTCACAAGTTTCTAAAGGCAGTTCTTATGTTGGTCAATCTAGCATATGCCGCTGATAATATCCTTTTGATATGGGCCTCTGGGGACAGGTTCGGTGTGATAACAGCCTCCAGATTTTTCTCTCTATTTTCTTCTTCGCTATAGAAGTTTTCTCTCTCGGCTTCTATATTTGAAGCTGTGTACTGTGGCTTTAATCGCTCGCTTATATACTTGTCAGTACTTACCTTACCTGTCGGTACTTGCATATAGTGACTATATACGGAGAAGTGAGGTCTTGTTCTTAATGCTCTGCCTATTGTAGCCTAATTGTTAATTGTACCTGTTGAGTTATAAGCTTAACTATTCTGGCCCTCAAATTCTTTGTCGAATCTTTCCTTAAAGTTGTGGCTTCCACAACTTCATCTTCTATAGTGCATTCCACTTGGTAATCACTCGTACAGGGAATAAGTATTTCCTTAGAGTTTTTCGAGTCATATATGTTTCCAGCCTTCACGTGTGCCCCCTTGTTCTACATTTTCTCAGTTTAAAGAGGCTATCACAGTCCACCTTGTCTATTTTCCTCAGTATCTTGTATGCTGAGCTCATATCTCCTATGTTTCTTCTGCCCTCAATGGTTGCGAGGTCCAGTTCCTTCAACCTACCCTTATAGTTTAAACCTCTTAGCTCTGGGACTAGTCACAAACCTCTGCACTATTTCAACTTAGGTTTTATGCTTCACAGACGCACAAAGTAATCTTGAAGCTGTGGGTGGAGGTGTAGGTATATTATAAAGCAGGAGGGAGGGAGACAGCATGTGGGTGGTGGTGGTAGAAAGGTTAGACGGCCACCAGCATATATCATGGCTCCACTCAACCTCTCAACCCCAGTATTTGTTTACATATAGGCACGGTTACACTACTGATATATTCTCTCTCTCTCTCTCTCTCTCTCTCTCTCTCTCTCTCTCTCTCTCTCTCTCTCTCTCTCTCTCTCTCTCTCTCTCTCTATATATATATATATATATATATATATATATATATATATATATATATATATATATATATATATAATATATAATATAAAATTTGTTTTCCTCAGCAGGTAGTGTAAGTTTTTAAAGGATATAATGTATGCCTGAATTTACCTGAGGGCTACTAACACTCTAGTGGCTTCGACGAGGACAGAAAGCAGGCGGCTTGTCTAAGGTCCTCTCATTTTCCAATATTTTTTTCCAATTGGATTTTGAAGTTTAACAGAGTTTTGGCATTTGAGGCTTCGGCGCGTAGGCAGTTCCATGGGTTTATAACCGCTGTGTGGGGGGGGGGATCAGGGCAAATGTGGGGGGACTTTTGACAAGCCGCCTGCTTCCTGTTCTCGTCGAGGCCACTAGAGTGTTAGTGGACCTCAGGTAAATTCGGGTAAATACTTGTTCATTTGGGAGGTGATCTAGTGTTTATTCACTCTATAGATAGTAGACGGTATTTACCTAGAATGTAAAATATCCATAATAATTGGAAAATACAGTAATCATTGACAAACAATGTGATCAAACAGTGTGATCAAACAGTGTGATCAAACAATGTGATCAAACAGTGTGATCAAACAGTGTGATCAAACAATACTGATTGCTGATTATGTATGCTAGTCTGTGGCTTGCCGAGTAATAATTTATTTTATATCTACAGTATGTGTGTGATTGGTTAATAATTATACGAATTCGAATTCAAATATTTATTCAGGTAAAAGTACATACATAAAGGATAAGTTACAAAAACCATGTTGGATTTATAGATAGAGCTAATACATACAATACCTATCTTGAGGTTATCTTGAGATGATTTCAGGGCTTTAGTGTCCCCGCGGCCCGGTCCTCCACCCCTAGGAAGCAGCCCGTGACAGCTGACTAACACCCAGGTACCTATTTCACTGCTAGGTAACAGGGGCATAGGGTGAAAGAAACTCTGCCCATTGTTTCTCGCCGGCGCCTGGGATCGAACCCAGGACCACAGGATCACAAGCCCAGTGTGCTGTCCGCTCGGCCGACCGGCTCCCCAGGTACCCCCTCGTCCTCCCCTCTGCTTTCCCCTCTCCACCTCCCCAGAAAATGTACCATTATGAAGCACTGAAACAACTATATGGGTCTCTTAGAAATATAATATTACGATCACTAAAAACTCTAGGGAAATGGCATCGTATATTTCACACATGACTCCGTGAAAATCACACGGGGAGTGCCTATAAATTATAATATTTCTTAAAACACTTAATTTTGGCCTGCCCTGACCATCCTATGTTCGTCCCATACCCAAGACCATTCACCCTGCAAATGTATATGAGGTGAGGCTAGCCCCAATCGTCTGGCAGCCAGCTTTGGACAGATAGACAAACTGACAGTCATACAGACTTTCTTATAACACAGATTATTATATCACTTCATGTGACACGTGAACCTTACATAACACTTCATATAACACATGAACCTCAACTACATAATGCTTCATTTGTCACGTGAACCTTACACAACCATCCACGTAACACGTGAACTTTCACGTAACATTCTCGAGGATACAGGAGCATTATGTAACGCTCCACGTGACATGTAAGCCTTATGTAACGCTCCACTTGACACATAAGCCTTATGTAACGCTCCACTTGACACATAAGCCTTATGTAACGCTCCACGTGACACGTAAGCCTTATGTAACGCTCCACGTGACACGTAAGCCTTATGTAACGCTCCACGTGACACGTAAGCCATAATAACACTTCATATATCGTACGCCAACCTTACAGAACACTCCTTGTAACACGTAAAGCTTATATAAGACTTCGTGGGATACATATGAGCCTTATGTAACGCTAGGCGACACATATGAACCTTGCCTAACTCTCCATGTGATACATATAACACTCTACTGGATGATTGAGTCCCTAACATGACAGAAGAGTGTATTGTTCGTGTCATGAATTTTGTCGTGCATTAAATTAAGACATATTTTGTGTTTTCTAAGTCTGTCTTTAAGAGGTTTTCTGTCATTAAATTAAGATTTTTCTGAGTGTTATAAGAGTTATCTAAGTCTGTCTTTAAGAGTGTTCTGTCAATAAGAGTTTTCAAAGTCTGTCATAAGAGTTATATAAGTCTGTCATTAAGGGAATTGTAGAGGACAAGAGGAAGATTAAATCAAAACAAACTCTGTGAGAACACTGAGAGCTGGGGTGGTGGGGGGGGGGGGGGGGGTAGAAATAGCCTAATCTACTCTATCCCTTTGAGATGTATTTTTTTTCTTGTCTCAATAAACATATTTGAACTTGAAGTTGGGAGCTAGAGGAGCAGTGTGATTAAACAGCTGCACAGTGTAGTGTTAGTTTGTCACAAGACAAGTTATATATTAGACTTGCTTCTCGACAACCTATAATGCTTCGTAACAATACAGTGAGAATTCGACTAATACATCTAATTCGTTGTATCGTATTCTCGGGACAGTTTAAGCTTATGGAGTTCACCTTAACCCAACTACTGACCTTTACCAAAATTGTCTTTACCATAGTTTTTGTAACTCCCGTGTACCTATTTATTGCTAGGTGAACAGAGGCATCGGGTGGGGATCGATTGATTGTTGCCGCCGAAGGCGGCTAGTTTATTGTACACCCCATACTCATCCTGTGAGCAGTACGCAAAAGCATTACTGAGAACACAAAAGGTCTTTATCAGACCTCATCTTAGATTATTAAATAAACACTTTCATCTATCCTTCACACCTTATAGTTACAATGTCAGCTAGTTACAGAGAAAGTGCTATTACAAGAGCTATATATTTACAGTAAGTCATAGGGGAGCTTCTGTTTATTATTAGTCTTCACAATACACTACTTGTTTCTGAATCTCATATGTCGTTCATCTACTGGAAGCGAAATGTGGGTACAGTGCAAGGATTTCAGGTAATTTATCCATGGTAATAAGATAGGTTGCCATATCATACAGAGTGAGCTTAGATTTATCTCTAAATGGCTCAATTTTACTACAATCCAAAATATAGTGTTCGAGTGTGTGTCCCTGTCTTTGTCCACACACTTTACACTTTACTTCATCTAGATCCCTGTACAAGCCGAACTGCCAGAGATACTTGTAGCCAAGTCTTATACGAGCTGTGACAACATCTGTTAGTCTACTGACTTTGTTACTTGCCCCATACACATGTTTTACTTCACACATTTCATTGTGATAAACAATGGACCTGCTGGTTCCAGTTTGCACAGTTCTACTTTCTCCAAATCCATCCAGGAGTTCTCGTCTAATGACACTTTTAAGGGACCTATTTGATAACTCAAGATTCCGTTCAATACTATCTTTATTTACTGCAGCCTTAGCAAGGGCGTCAACTTTGTCATGGGGATCGAACTCCGACCCATCCTGGGTCGTGAACCGGTTGAGATGACCACTGAAGGGAGGGAAGGGAACTACCAGGAGAAAGCGCCAAGCCATTAGCACTATGTAGCACTGGGAAGCGAGATATATATTCTGAGAAGAGAGGGTCAAGATAAGGATTTGGGATGGGACGGGGGGGGGGGGGGAAAGGAATGGTGCCTAACCACTTGTGGACGGTCGGGGATTGAACGCCGACCTGCATGAAGCGAGACCGTCGCTCTACCGTCCAGCCCAAGTGGTGATGGTAGATGACCACTGAGTTTATATATTGAGCAAAAAGAGTTTATATATTGTGCACCCTATACCCATCATATGGGCGGTATAGATGAAAGGGTTACAGAGGCACATAATGGGCTCAGGAACTGAACCCCACAATTCATTTAGCTGGTGTGTAGAACAATGTTTGTCCTGCACACCGCCCCCCCCCCATCCAGTGGGAAGCGGTGGATAGGTTACAATCACTTAGTTACTACCTACAGTTAGCAAACTGGGGATATTTGGCTAAAATTTCTGGTAGCAGATCATTTTAAATGAAATATTTACATATTTCTTGAGCATTTGTTATAGAATTGTCTCTGAATTCACGTAACTTTTCGCATTCCATCACATAGTGACGGAGGTTAGTTTAGTTCATTTATTATGCACCCCATACCCATCTTGTGGGCGGTAGTGGAAAGGGTTACAGAGGCACATAATGGGCTCAGGGACTGAACCCCACAATTCATTTAGCTAAGCAAGTTACAATCTTGATGAGCTAGTTACAAAATTCAATATAAGTCGTCACATCAACAATGGGTTCGAGATCGACCTCAAGTACAGGTTCTAAATTAAGCAACTGACATATGTGGAGAGTTAGTGTCACAATTGATATGTTTGTCCTGCACACCGCCCCCCATCCAGTGGGCAGCGGTGGATAGGTTACAATCACTTAGTTACTACCTACAGTTAGCAAACTGGGGATATTTGGCTAAAATTTCTGGTAGCAGATCATTTTGAATGAAATATTTACACATCGCTGGAACATTGGTTATAGAATTGTCTCTAAATTCACGTATCTTTTCGCACTCCATCACATAGTGGCGGAGGGTGTGCGAATAATTTTGACACAGTTTACATTTGGTCAGGTCTATATCAGCAGATAATGAGAATTCCCAGAGATACTTGTAACCGAGTCTAAGCCGAGCAGTAGTAACATCTAGAAGTCTGCTGATTTTATTATAAGATCCATAGATGTGTGACTCCTCTTGCATGATAGTATGATGATAGATGGAATTACTGGTGTCGATTTCACTTTACCTCAGGTCTACAATTAAGTGTTTCGTTGAAGTTCTTGGTGTACTATTGCTCTCAGACTGCTTATATAGGCAATTCAAAGTTATAATCAACTTGTTTGAAGGCAGATTCTTTGGGTAACTCAACAACTCTATATCATGCATTAGGAGACCAACATGAGATGGAAGCCACATGAAATATACTGTCACCATGATTAATAATTTTGTTGTGTCTAGCTTCAGACACGAACAGGTTACCGTTATGTCTTGAAGAGTTAATTAAGCGCAGTTAAGGATGATAAGGAGTGACTTACATTTAATGTATAAGACATACAATTCTTTATAAAAGAGATAAGCTATCTACTTTTGGTTCCCGTTATATGCTCAACATTACATTTATCTTTGAAAAGTTGTTGCTGTTAAGGTAAGGTAATTATGAGGAGAAAGCACTAAGCCAGTGTGACTATATAACACTTGGAAGGGATATGAAGATAAGAATTTAGGAGAGGACGGAGGAAAGGAACAGTGCCCAATCGCTTGCACCATCAGGGACTGAACGGCCACCTGTAAGAAGCGAGGCCGTCGCAATACCGACCACTCCAAGTGTGGTTCTATTTCGTTTAGGCTTACTTGTTTTAAAGTCCAAATTTAAATCTCCGGAAGATTGAATACGTTACAAGACGCATTTATAGTATTCTGAGAAAATAATTATTAGTATTTTAATTGGCAAAATCTTCGGTAATAATTGAGTGACACGCGATAAACTGTGTTATGAAGTTTAATATTTAATATTGAAGATTTAAATTTCGAATGCACCCGGGTTTATTAAACTTTTTATAAGGCAAATATAACGTTAAGAAAACTAAATTACAAATTACTGTCATCGACAGTCAAACATTTAAGGGCATTTAATAAAATATTATTGAATCATAAAACTAAGGTAATTTTTACTATAGGAAACCTTGATAAAGTATTGAGTATTTAAATTGACTAACATTAGAGTAGAACAGTTGAAACATTATTGGAACCAAAACAAATACAGTCATGGCAGACATCCCGCCGAGCAGACAAGAGAAGTCCCTAGGTTTACTGACCTCCAAGTTCGTCTCTCTTCTCCAGGAAGCCGAGGATGGCGTTTTGGACATCAAATCTGTAAGTAGAGGAGAGAATAAGAGGGGTGAGGACGTCATTGTGGGCCCCGACGACCCTCACCAGCACAACCTGGGGTCTGGACCCAGTCAACCTCGTTGGTGGTGGTATACCAGACTGGGGCTGGTATACCGTGGCTTTGGGCCGGTCTCTGGGGGTATACGGGAGAGGGGATAGTAGGCCGGGGGAGGGTTATATGGCGAGGCAACTGGGTCAGGGTTGAGGGATACTTTGTCAGGTTTGGAGGTCCTGTTGGGGCACCTCACGCTGGGGGTTGCCAGCAGCTGTTCTGATGTTGCCATGAGTCGCTCTGGTGTTGCCATGTGTCACTCTGGTATTGTCACGAGTCATTCTGGTGTTGTCATGTGTCACTGGTGTTGTCATGTGTTACTCTGGTGTTGTCACGAGTCTCTCCGGTGTTGTCACGAGTCGCTCCGGTGTTGTCACGAGTCGCTCCGGTGTTGTCACGAGTCGCTCCGGTGTTGTCACGAGTCGCTCCGGTGTTGTCACGAGTCGCTCCGGTGTTGTCACGAGTCGCTCCGGTGTTGTCACGAGTCGCTCCGGTGTTGTCACGAGTCGCTCCGGTGTTGTCACGAGTCGCTCCGGTGTTGTCACGAGTCGCTCCGGTGTTGTCACGAGTCTCTCCGGTGTTGTCACGAGTCTCTCCGGTGTTGTCACGAGTCGCTCCGGTGTTGTCACGAGTCGCTCCGGTGTTGTCACGAGTCGCTCCGGTGTTGTCACGAGTCGCTCCGGTGTTGTCACGAGTCGCTCCGGTGTTGTCACGAGTCACTGGTGTTGTCACGAGTCCGTCTGGCATTGTTAAAAAATTGCACTAGCACTGCCACTCATCACTCTGGCGCTGTCACGTGTCACTGGCACTGCCATGTGCTGCTCTGGAACTGCCATGCATCACTAGCACTGCCTCGCGTCACTGGGGCTGTCACACATCGCTCTGGCTACCCTGGTGTTACGTTGCGTTATTCTATTTTTCTCATGTGCAACTCTTGTCCTTCTGTAAGTTACGATAATTTTAGACACCAGCAATTTGTTTAGTATAGCCTTGATAAAGCTTACAGATGGGTGTTTCACACATTGTTTCCTACGCTAATGATCTATTTCATACATTTGCCCCAGATGAGAGAATACAGGATAATCTTTCCATTATCACTACAAAGCCTAGTGAAAGAAGCACCAATATAACTTGAAGAAATCCACAAGGGCCGTGACAAGAATTCGAACCTGCGTTCGGGAGCATCTCAGACGCTGCCTTAACTTGCAGCGTTATAACTTACCCAATGTATGGATTGTGGATGCATTGTTTCATTGAAATTCCATACCACTATATAATTGAGCACTCTAAATAAAGAAAAAAATTGTCTTTATTTTAGAGCAAACCGGATCTCTCTTTCAATTTTTAGATTTGTTGGAAAAAAGTCTGGAAACCATATCTCATAAACTATTAATTGTAATTGGTTTCCAAATATTTCATGTGAACTTGATGAAAAAAAAATTATAGTGGAACCTTGGTTTACGAATTTAATCCGTTCCAAGAGACGGTTTGTACACTGGAAATTCGTAAACCGAAACAAATTTTTTCATAAATAACGTAAATTGAATTAATCTGTTCCACACACCCGAAAAATATTAACTTAAAAATACGTTTTATACAGAATAATTCTCATTTTTTTTTACAATTCAAGCTCGGTTGTCACTAGGCAGAATACACTGAACATGCCAGCAAAACATATGCGCTCGACGACGCATACATGTATCAACAAACTTGTATTCAGAGGCAAATCTCATACGCCGAGTCAAATTTTACAAGGAAATTTACTTTGTATACCAAAAAATTTGTAATCCAGGGCATTCGTAAACCGAGGTTCCACTGTAGTTTTAGGTGTGGGGTGAAAAAAGTGGATGAGCCAGGTGTGAAAAAGATCATGTGGCTAGTTTTAATTTTGAAAGTTAAGAATTCTAAATATTGACCCATATTTCCTTAAATGCTGTTTTTGCCGTTGATTAGCCTTAACCGAGCCACTATAAGAACTCCTCTGCCAGCTTCTTATTTATACTAGTTTGGAACTTCCTTTTAATATAACCTGTCTTAGTCTGCTAGGTCTATGTTACTAGACATGCTTTCTACTCTCAAATAAAGATCATTCATCCACTTGCGATAACTATCTGACTCTGTTGAAAACTTAATTTGCAGCACTTTTTAGGAAATAAATTTATTATTCAGCAACAACTTGAAGGAAATTGCATTTAAAGTGTTTGTGGTGCTTACAGGCGGCTGATCAACTTGCTGTTAGACAAAAGAGAAGAATATACGATATTACCAATGTGCTGGAGGGCATTGGGCTGATTGAAAAGAAGAGTAAAAACTCCATTGTGTGGAAGGGCGGAGGGCCAGGTTCCAACACTCAGGAATTCACTGACCGTGCCACCATGCTTAAAGAGGAAATTTCCGAGCTTGACCAACATGAGAAGATGCTCGATCAACACAGACAGGTTGGTACACTGCTGTGTTAAGTGTATTTAACATTACCTTCAGCTTTTACTAACTGTAGAATTGTCTTACAGTGATATAATACAGCATTTGTTTGTAATAGTCTAAGATTAAAGTTTCTATTGCTTCAAGATTAAATGAAATATTTTCTGTATTTTAAATTTAGCCTATACCAGTTCTAGTATTGTGATGGGTACAGTATATTTCTTGAAATATACTGATTCTTTGCATAGAGTATGGTGCCTTTGTTTTGGTCTAATGATATATTCTCCCTATATTTAGTTGTTGCTATTCATTTAAATATTTGTCCTTGTATTGTGTGAAAATAATTTGTTTACAAAAATTGCTCTTCTGGTAGAAAGGAGAGACTTGTACCAATTGATCTAAAAATTATCATCTTTTCTTTATATTAAAAAATTATATTGCTTCTTCCAACAGTACGTACAACAGAGTATTAAAAACATTACTGAAGATCTCAGTAACTATAAGATGGCATACGTCAATCATGAAGATATCTGCAGCTGCTTCCAGGGTGATACACTGTTAGCTATACAGGCACCTTCAGGGACGCAGTTAGAAGTTCCTATTCCACAGATGGTTTGTTTTATTTTATTACTTTTATGACATTGGCATTGTGTATTAATTTACTAAACTTTCAACTGCAGGGAAAGGGTTGACTATGTAAAAAAATTCTCCATCTCGCTCTTCTTCCATAGCCAGACATAAATTTGTACTATTTCCACAGGTAAATGGTGATAAAAAATACCAGATTCATCTAAAGTCTGAGAGTGGACCAATTTATGTTCTGCTAGTCAACCAAGATCAGGAGCATACACCACCTCTAGTGGTTCAGGTTAGTGATACTTTCAATCTATATTCCATAAGTGTTAACCCGTTTATTGTGCGAGAGGGATGTTGTATGATTACTGTACTGTACATGTGATGTAAAACATTTAAATGATTTGTTCTTTTTATTATAACACATACCCACATGTAAAAGCTTTCTACCTCTGTGCAGGTCCCACCGCCAACAGCTGTAATGAAGCAAGAGCCAGTAGGACGGGGCGTGAAAAGAGTAGCTTCATCTCCTCCTATTGAGCCGCCTCCATCACGCTCTCGGGCAACTCCACAAAAGGGTGTCACCGCTCACACACCAACTGCATGCAGCCCATCACATCCTGAAGTAAGCTGTCAGTGTATGCCTGTTAGTTGGAATGAGGCGGTGAGAAAGGTAGTTAATAAGAAAAATAAATAGATGTTGTTACAATGTGAAAATGGGAGCAATGAGAGAGAACATGTGAAAAGATGAGGCCATCTCAGAAATGTGTGTGTGAAGTAACATGCTTTTTTTTATTTTTTATTTTAAGTAGGGAGGTGAAAATCTGAATGTGAAAAGATATGTGATGTATGATTAGTAGGGATCTTAAACTAAAAGATCAATGTACAACTGTCCAAGATAAAGGTCTGACTATGAAGGATTTCTTGTTTTTCCTCTGTTGTCATCCTCACAACTATTTTCTCAGGTTGATCTTTACTACTGACTTTCTTGGAACACCTGGCATGATATATAATAAGAACTTTTATGTTCAGAAACTAAAAAGCACAAATACAATTAAATTCTTCACAAAGTATTCTAGTGCTGTCGTCATTAGGTGGGAGACACTGGTAAACTGAAGTGCGCCACACGCTCGGTCGGCCCATATGTACGTATAGCAACAAACGCGAATACAGAGTCAAATTTTTCAAAATTGAACCGAAAAATTTAATAATGGGCATTTAAAAACTGAGGTTCCACTGTAATCCTAAAAATAACTTAACCCATTTCTAAGGTAAATAGGCATATTGTTTATGGGTATATGGTAGTTCACGTGGTTTCTTTATTGCATATATCTTGAGGTTATCTTGAGATGATTTCGGGGCTTTAGTGTCCCCGCGGCCCGGTCCTCGACCAGGCCTCCACCCCCAGGAAGCAGCCCGTGACAGCTGACTAACACCCAGGTACCTATTTTACTGCTAGGTAACAGGGGCATAGGGTGAAAGAAACTCTGCCCATTGTTTCTCGCCGGCGCCCGGGATCGAACCCGGGACCACAGGATCACAAGTCCAGCGTGCTGTCCGCTCGGCCGACCGGCTCCCAGTGGGGGGTCACAGCACAAACAATTTGTGCTATGAAAAAAAAGGTATACAGTACTTGGCATACTTCTTCTACAATAGATACTGTTGTTGCAAACAATTATTGGTTGATGATAATGTACTTAAGATGTAAAACATGTTTTTTTTAGGGTGGTGAAGTAGCAGAAACAGCTCCAGTATCTCGTAGAGTCCCACGTAAAGCTTCAGCAGGGGTTAGTAGTGTCACGGAAGCTTTGGCACCCAGAAGAGCACGTAAGAGACAGGAAGCAGCAGCAGCTGCTGCGGCAGCGGCACAGTTATCGTCGGCTGGTAAGTGTAGCACTCGTTCAAAGTCATTGGAATAAAAGTTTAAAGTAGTTAGGGTAAAAACTTTGTCCGTTCTTGATATTGGTGTCATTAAGGCTATTATGGTTCTCACAAGATATTACAGTATTTACAAAGAGGTTTATGCTTTAATCTTATAAATTAATAGACAATTTGATAAGCTTGTTTTACATATGAAGAGATATAGTAGAAAATTGTAACATCATGTAATGCTGCAGAGTACAAAAGTCAGTAAACCATTAGATTGAGTAGTTTGACCAGATTAATTGTATGTATAAATATAAAATGGGGCAGTTCCAGTAATCCATTTGGAGTACTTCAACATCTACCTCTTTTGGGCACCTCTCTGTGGCGCCTAGGACTGGTGTTAGTGGTGCTGGACACGTTTATCACCAATACATTCTTAGTCAAATGGCTAATATCACAGCTGCAACTTTTACAGGGCTTTGTGTACTAGATTTTAACTTATGCCGCCAGAGCCACAACCACTTTGTTCGAAGCCACATTAGGTTGACATGCAACTTGTTCTGGATGAGTTACCTATTTTGTTGGATCATGAGAGGCTTCTGTGCTTGTTCACCATTGCTTGTATGGCACATCCCTTTAAGTCTTCTTTGGGGATGTTTGACAGGTTCCTTAGCTCACTTGCTTATTGGTCAAGGTAGTCTGATTTTTTGTAAGCTTCCACTTACATTTTTTTTTTTAGATGGTTTGGGTTTTATCTCTGGCCTCTGTCATGTAGGTTTTTGGACCATGGCCTCTGGCTCAGGCACTTGCACATGTGCTGTCTATGTGCAGGAGTAGTTGGAAGTGTGTGTGGTGTTGGTGTGCTTAACTCACTTGGGAGGATTTGTAACTGGCCAATAGTTGGACATGTGTTGTTCAAAACATCAGTTGGTAACGATTGCTCGTCCAGATCCCTCCTGTTGCATTGAACTTTAGCCATAGTCTCTTGTCTTGCTTCTTAAGTTTTGTTCTTTCTGAAGTATGTACTCATAGTACAGAAAGATTGAATGTATAATCCAGAGGATATTTAATAAAAATTCAGTCTGGTGCTGTAAAAAGATAATTTTTTTAAAGTGAATGAATTGTACAAATATTGGGTCTAGGAAGTGTCTTGTAAAATTTATACATGCAGTCTAAATAAATTGTATTTTTCTTCTTTTTCTTCTTAGCATCTGATATAGTAGTTAAGCACGAAAATGTTGAAGAAGTTCTGCCAACCTCGGGCAGCATCAAGCAGGAACAGCAAGAAGACAGGTCATCCACATCTCCAGTATTTACACATGCCCCAGGTAATTTTATAGCAGTGTTCCTTGTTTTGTGTATCAGAGACAGTGTCTGTGTCAGCCAGATCAAGGATCTAAGTGTTGAAGTGGCATCCATTAATTTCCTAATGTTGTATACATGTCACCGATACACTTTTATAACACGGCTCTAAGAAATTGTTTGTTGATTTTTTTCCTAATAAGAATATGAATATGTTTTGCATGATCATATTGTAAATAGAGCAATAAACATTTTCTTAAATAGATTTAATATATTTTCTCCGTAAACCTGACATGTTTCCAGTCTATATTTAGAAAAGGCTTATAGTATTGACTTAAATTTTTAGTAATGCACTATATTTTGAGTAAGTAAAATATGGCTGCTGCTATTGAAATTAAGTAACACATTCCCATAGCAACAATTTGTTTGCACTCCATATGATAGTGGTTGGACGCTTTACCGTCCAACCGCTTGGGTTGGACGGTAAAGCATCGGTCTCGCTTCATGCAGGTCGGTGTTCAATCCCCGACCGTCCAAGTGGTTGGGCACCATTCCTTTCACCCCCGTCCCATCCCAAATCCTTATCCTGACCCCTTCCAAGTGCTATATAGTCGTAATGGCTTGGCTGTTAATTCATTCATTCCATATGATATCTTTGGAAAATCATCATATTTCCTTGAGACCAATACCATTTATAGCCTGGCCTCAGGGAGTAGAACTCCAGAAACTCTCACCAGGTATCTGATTATAAAATAAAGGCTCCTTTTGTTTTGGGGCAATTCATTACAGTACTTCAATGACAATTGTGGGGCTGTTCTTCTATTCATTTATGTTTATATATTAAAGTAAAATGTACAAAGGGGGAGGAAATGGCATTTTTGTTTGAAAAATTGTCACAAAATTTTGTGCCTAAAATGGGTATGCCTCTCTTGATCAGCCATGATTGAACCATATGTAGTTAAATTAAGTTGGTGCCGTTTCATTTTTATTTAAAGTGAAATAATTTAATGTTCGCGTACTGTACTTTGTGAAAATTTCTAAGTTTTAAAGCATATATCATTTATATTTATAAATACAGATGTAAATTATTTTTGGAAATAAATTTTGTCAGTATTTTCTTAAGTTGTTAATAGGTTTATATATTAATGTGTAGACAATTGCTTGCATGAGTTGGGAAAACTTGATGGTTGATATTGTTTCAGATACTATGCTGTCAACTTTGGGAGACGGCTTGGTTGAGGAACTAATATCAGCAGAAAGTGAGTCTCCGTCTCCTATTTGTTTGCGTTGGACTCTGTACCATTTATATTAATGACACCGATGCAGTGCACATTAACTGCTGAGAATTGTTAGTTGTGTTGAGTGTTGTAGTGTGTATTGTAACTGCTTCAAGTGCCACCCATCAACTTTACAAATATTTACCAATTAATTGTGCATTAGTTTGGCCTGTTTATTACAGTACATTATTTTAGTAGTAGTTCTCAGCTACTTCCAGTATAAGAATGAGATTTGTTTAATTTATAGTTGTATATGAAGAAAGGGAAAAATTGTATATATTTTTACAGTTTTTAAGATAGTCTTCAGTGTGTATTTTAGATGGACAAACAACTTTACATATCAAAGATTTTGGTTATGTAAGTGTATTTTTATTATGGGAAGAACAAACTAAATATATAGTAGGTGAAAATGAAGTAGACCAAATATATGGATGATCATAGGGGGAATAGAGTTCACCTTGCATCGGTTATATTATTGTAAAAGATGTCATTACAGTTAGTAATTTCTTCATTGACTTCAGTTTTTAAATTTTCCCAACTTTTGTGTACCTTATTTAATTAGACTGACTTATATTTTGTTTCCAATTTGTGCGACATATTTCATTTAAGTAGTATTGTAATCAACATACAGTATTTAATTATCCATTATTTTTTTGCAGTGTTTGCACCTTTACTGCGATTAAGTCCACCACCTTCGGAGCGAGATTACATGTTCAACTTAGACGAGACAGAGGGAGTTTGTGACTTCTTTGATGTTCCAATGCTAAGTTCACTTAGTACAACAGACTTACAGTGAATGTCAGGAAGTTGAAGAAAAATAGTAATCTAGAAAGTTAAATGAATAGACTTTGCAAATCTCATTGAAGCAAAAAGTCAAGTCTTTCAGGTGGTAGAAATGAACCATACATTGAGGCAGTATGGTTACTTGGTGGACCAAAGGCTGGAGAAATATTGTACAGTATTGTAAATGATCCTAACACCGTGAGACACTTCTTCACTGAGGAGTTGTTTGCTAGTCTCGGCTCCTAGACTGTTGGTGAGTGAAGAATGGTTGAGCATTTATCGATTGGTAAAGTATACAGTACTGAAACCTGGATTGAATGGTATGTGCCGACGGGTAGATGTAAGGATGTGACTCGACCGTAAGTAGATAGTAAGACTTTTCTAATTTATGAGAGTATTTGGGTTTAGCAAAGTATCTTGATAGGATTTTTTTTAATAAAGTCTTAATTGTTTGCATTTTATAAACTTATTTAAAGTATTTATACAAAATTTACATGTGGTTATGTCAGCTGAATTGGAACTCAGTTTAAGCATTCCATGTCTTTTATATAAGTATTTAATACATCTGGATTTAAGCTAGACTGCTGCAATGGGGGGTTTAACTTTTGAAAGAATGCACGCATGGGAGGCAAGGGTCAATATCTCTTAGATGCCTATTTTGTATATTTAGTCCACTGTAGTTACACATGAGCTGTATGCAGTAACAGCAAAAAGTCTTATAATAGTATTCAGTTAGAGATGGATTGTTTGACATGTCTGCTTAAGTTGTACTCCCTCGCCTAGTCATTACTATGGATCGTTTGATGTTATCTTATTGTTTTAGTGAATTATTGTATGTTGTATGTGATCATTATCTTTTAAGAAAATACATGCCAGTAAATTGCAGTAGTGTTGTATATTTAAATGAATGCAGTGATATTGTAAATTTGTGTAAAAAGATAATGCAATGTGTGTATCATAGCATTGAAAGTATTCAATAGAATGAAATTAATTTTGTTTTACGACAGAGGATATCAACGAATTTGTTCCCTTCAAGAGAAGTACTTGTGCGAAAATAGAATTACAGTAATTAAAATATATGTTTTGTTAGAAATTGAACCCTGACCCAGTGGATGCAAGTTAAACAGGATATCCACAAAATTCTTTAGAGAACTCGTGTATTTTAAATTTTGTTTCCGACATGTTGTGGATTTGTTTTTGATAGTATTAATTTTGGGAAAAGCAAAAGGCATGTTAGACCTGGCATTAAAGCTGTATAAGACAAGTGTGGTTGTAGACAATTTATGTCCTAAAGTAGCTGTGATGAGGAAGATACGTTGTATATCTTGTCCATATTTATTTCAGTCACTTTTTAAGGCTTGCATTTGGGAACTTGTTGACATTAAAGAAGCGACAGTATTGAGTGTCAGTCTTGTTTCTTCTCATTTGCCAAAGCATATTTTGCCTTTTTGATAAGGTAATGCATCGTGACAGACTGTGCTTGATCTGCTTTTGTAAGGCTTTGAAAACCTGCCAAAATATGCTCAGCGTGTGAATTAGGACTAGGAGCCTTTCAGAACACTGAAGACCAAAGACTGCTGTTTGAATAATATTTGGGAGGGCTTAATTATGAGAACATAGCTCATAAGAGAGGGAGAGAGATTTTGTCACCTTGTAAACATTACCAGTTATAAGGTGTCAACACTAGTACAAAGCCTAGCTTCAGAATCATCATGAGCTTACCACTACTGATGCTGCTGACAAGGTTCATATAATCACTTGCAATATAACTTCAGTTATTGATTCAAGTTAGGTGTATTTATTAAATAATTTGTTGCAGTCAGTATGCCAAGTAGAGTTAGGCTCATTATCAATGGAGCTGCACACGTATAATTGGTTGCTTGGTTGTTATTGACTAGCATGCGCTACGTGCGCCTCACATATACTCTGTTTCTCCGAGTGTTAGACAACAACACTGGTAGCCATGTTTGTATATCAAACGTTTTATTCCGTATAACAGTTGAGTACTGCATGTTCATGCTGACTTGGTACTTTCATTTGATTAATTTTGTTCTTTCATTTTATAATTACTTGTTTTATATGACCAGGAAATCAGAGTGCAGCTTTTGGTTATCTTTTCTTGTGAAGGACAAGATTAGTGTCATATTGTTAATAAAAACTTATTTTGTTTATCTCATGGTTTATTAAGTGCCTCAGTTTGTTTATTTCTGATTTTTGTGATGGAGGAATGAATGTGAAGCGTTTATGTAGCTGCATTTGGGGTTGTTACTCTTGGAGTCTTCATACAGTATTCTTTGTTTGGCTAACACTGCTGTCAATCTTAGTTGCAGTGCTTGAGGTGTAACTTAAGTGTTTTAACATGACCATCTTTGAGGGATTTGACCTAATGTAGTAGTCATTCCTCCTAAAACTTGGTTACGTTCCTAACATTATACTTACATTATAGTTTAAAAAAAAAAAAAAATTCATCTTGGTTGATGTAAATTATTAGTTCACACCAGGTATGGAGTTGTGGTTTTCTGACATATATTAGTATCATGCTCTAGCTTGTCATAATATGTGAGAGAGATTTCTAGGAAAAGGAGCTTGATCATGTTTAATCACATTCCAGGTATTACAAGTTATAGTACTGTAGCTGAAGAGGGTTCATATGTGGTGTAAAATAACCCTAGAGTTGATGTGCCCTTTAACCCCAGTTTCGGTGAAAGGTCCACGAGTGTCATTTATGCAGTATGAAAGTCTGTACAAAAGTTTATAACGAGGGCTAGCAATATCTTTGTTTTATCTCACTATTTTAAATTCCTAGGCATTGCTAAAATAAATATATTGGTGTGTTAGGGTATATGCAGTATTTACACTTCATTTCACATGAAATTACAACAATATAGTTATTGTACTACAGTATATGATTGTACAGTGTATATGTGATGAGATATTTTTATGAAGACTTATTTCTAAAATAGTTGCAGCTCATCTAGAGATTTCGATAACCAGGACTGGCATAGAGACAATGTAGAACCGTTCAGAGATAAGTCTTCAAAATTGTGGAATTTTATTACAAGATTAATGATAATTGCTAAATTTTTTATATTTTTTTCACTTAAGAAGGAAGTTAAAAAAATGACTTCTCCAAAAGTTTATTTTTGCAATTATTTTTGGCCTGTCACTAAGATGTGTTTCGTTAACATTATCAAAGGCAGATTTCAAATGGTTAGAAAGTTGTTGTTGTTTTAGATTCAGTTACTCAGAACAAAACATTTCAAGCAGTACGGGCTATGGTGAGCCCAAAGTACTTACCTGGCACAGGCGGTTAGAAAGCGATTGATTGATAAAGATTAAGCCACCCAAGAGGTGGCACGGGCATGAATAGCCCGTAAGTGGTACAATTTTTTTTTCTCAGTATTCTGAGGTTGCATTTAACCATCAAGCTGTTATCGCGGGGGAGGATACTGCTTCACAGTCTTTATGAGGGTGTCCAGCTGCTGGACACCTTTGTTGACCAGGAGAGTGGCTGTGTTGATGGCTTCAGGGTGGCCACTGCATGATTCAGGAACTCTTAAAGCTCTTCTAAGGTCATTGGTTGCTTCACATTCCAGAAGATAGTGAAGTAATGGCTTTTCTGTGACAGTTTGGCAGAAGATGCACTCTCTGTCGGGGTTCACCAATCTCCCAGTTGCATCTGTAACCTAGACGTAGTCTATATAACCTAACTGCTATTTCCCTGTGGATTCCTTTTGGGATATTTAACCTTTCTAATTTGGTTGCCTGAAGATACCATGTTGCCGATGGCGAACCTTCAGCTATTATTTGGTGAAGGTAGGCTTTGTTGAGATGTGAGAGTTTTTTGGTGATGATGTTTTTTATATTCTCTAGGCTGGGTTGAATTGTTTTATGTATCACTGGATGACGAGTTGCCAATTTAGCAATTTCATCAGCTTTCTCATTTAATGGGATTCCAACATGGGATGAGATCCAGTTTAAGGTTATGTTGAGTCCTTTGCCTTTAGCGACTGCTCCAAGATACAAAATGGTGGTAATTATTTCCACGTTATCTTTCCACTGTTTTTGTCCTAGTATTTGAAGTGCAGCTTTTGTTAGAAAGTTTGCTACTGCTGGATATATAGTCAGAGATGAGGTGAAGGTGAAGCACTTCACTTAGAGGCAATAGGTCCATTACGTCTCACCATAAGTGAGGTGCTTCATCTCATCTCTGGGAATATATCCGGCAGCAAGAAACTTTCTTACCACACGGGGGAGACATCTCCCGTCACGCAGGGTGCAGTCGCACCTCCACAGGTCTCCAGTATCAGCTCTTGATACTGGTAATGGCTCAAAAGGGCCACCACTTACGGGCTATTCATGCCCGTGCCACCTTTTGGGTGGCTTAATCTTCATCAATCAATCACTTTCTTACCATTTTAACTCTGCCTTTGATGATGTTAACAAGAGTTACTTGTTCCAAAATACACTCTTAGCATCAGGGCAAATGAAATATCAAAAATTAATCTTGGAGAGTTAATTATTCAACTTTCTTCTCAAGTGAAGAAAAATAGAGAAGATTTGCACTAGAATTATTCATCTCGGCTTTTGTTACATTAAATAATATATGCCTACAAGAAAGATGGCTACCAAAATACTGTATGCTAATAAATATGTATACATATAATGTTGTGCCTAATAGCCAGAACTGCACTACTTGGCCTAATATGCAAGGCCCGATTTGCCTAACTGGCAGTGAGATTTTCGATATTTTCAAATATTTCTTTCCAATTAATATATATTAAGAACACGAATTACTGACTTTCTTATGTTAAGCTAGGTTCAGATAGGTTAGGTTTGATTCAATTTGCTAGTTTTAACTCAAATTAAAAAAAAATCAAATGTATGATGTAATCGAAAGCTTTATCATTCCATAAGAAAATGTATTAACAAAAATATTTCAGGAAAATTCAGCCTAGTTAGGCAACTTGGTCTATTAGGTATTTTTATATATATATATATATATATATATAGGTTATATATATATATATATATATATATATATATATATATATATTATATATATATATATATATATATATATATATATATATATATATATATATATATATACATACATACATACATACATACATACATACATACATACATACATACATACATACATACATACATACACATACACACAGTATATATATAATTATTTATTTTGGCAGGACCAAAGAGCTGAAGCTCAACCCCTTCAAACACAAGTATGTGAGTAGTACCCTCGCAGAAACTTTTCACACTCACTCGAGCGTAGCTCTCATCCTGTAACCATACTTAGGAAATTACACATACACATAAAGTAATACATTGACACAAAAACACACAAATCCTTGCAGGAGTACACATGCTTATTATATATACACTGTATATATATATATATATATATATATATATATATATATATATATATATATATATATATATATATATACAGTGTATATTTATATACACTGTATATATATATATATATATATATATATATATATATATATATATATATATATATATATATATATATATATATATATATATATATATATACATATATACATATATATAGATACACACACAGTGGAACCTCGAGTGACGAGCAGCTCCAGTTACAAGCATTTCGAGTAACGAGCAAGCCACTCGTAGAAAATATGTCTCAACTGACGAGCTTTCCCTCGATTAACGAGCGTTCCCGCTGGTTCTCGGACACCTCTGACGACAGTTTTGTTGTTGTTTCACAAGACGAGTTTTACACATGACGAGGTCGGTGCCGGATGGGCTTAAACTCATCAATCGAGGTGCCACTGTGTGTGTGTGCATGTGTATGTATATATATATATGTCGTACCTAGTAGCCAGAACGCACTTCTCGGCCTACTATACAAGGCCCGATTTGCCTAATAAGCCAAGTTTTCCTGAATTAACATATTTTCTCTAATTTTTTTCTTATGAAATGATAAAGCTACCCATTTAATTATGTATGAGGTAAATTTTTTTTATTGGAGTTTAAAATTAACGTAGATATATGACCGAACCTAACCAACCCTACCTAACCTAACCTATCTTTATAGGTTAGGTTAGGTTAGGTAGCCGAAAAAGTAAGGTTAAGTTAGGTAGACGAAAAACAATTCATGAAAACTTGCCTTATTAGGCAAATCGGGCCTTGCATAGTAGGCAGAGAAGTGCGTTCTGGCTACTAGGTATGACATATATATATATATATATATATAATATGTGTGTATATCACGAAAATAAACACGTGATTAAGAATGTGACAATGTCAGACCACGGAGGAAAATGAAACAGGAATTTCCTTAAGGTAATTCCTGTTTCATTTTCCTCCGTGGTCTGACATTGTCATATATAATATATATATATATATATATATATATATATATATATATATATATATATATATATATATATATATATATATATATATATATATATATATGTATATATATATATGTATATATATATATATATATATATATATATATATATATATATATATATATATATATATATATATATATATATATATATATATATATATATATGTGTCGTACCTAGTAGCCAGAACTCACTTCTCAGCCTACTATGCAAGGCCCGATTTGCCTAATAAGCCAAGTTTTCATGAATTAATGTTTTTTCGTCTACCTAACCTACCTAACCTAACCTAACCTAGCTTTTTTTGGCTACCTAACCTAACCTTACCTATATATATAGGTTAGGTTAGGTAGGGTTGGTTAGGTTCGGTCATATATCTACGATAATTTTAACTCCAATAAAAAAAATTGACCTCATACATAGTGAAAAGGGTAGCTTTATCATTTCATAAGAAAAAATTATAGTAAATATATTAATTCAGGAAAACTTGGCTTATTAGGCAAATCGGGCCTTGAATAGTAGGCTGAGAAGTGAGTTCTGGCTACTAGGTACGACATATGTATATATATATATATATATATATATATATATATATATATATATATATATATATATATATATATATATATATATATATATATATATATATATATATATATATATATATATATATATATATATATATATATATATATATATATATATATATATATATATATATATATATATATATATATATATAT